AATTAAGTTCACGCCCATATCATAAAGATATTTACTTTTGACGATACCAGTGTCCACAGCATTAGCGGTAAATATTCTAGGATATCGAATGATTACTTATTTTTAGAAGGGTGCCATTTACTATTTGTAAAATTTTAAAACATTATCACTCTCAGGATAAATCCAAAATCTGAACCTAAATAAAAGCTATTTCATCGGTAAAGCTGATGACATTATAGCCCAGACACGTGTATAATGCTACAAATGTAGAAAAATTAATAAGATTGAGTAGAGTATCCCTAAAATTTACTTAAGACCAAAGTTATAAGATTATATGAGAATTGTTCAAGTTATTTGTTTGATTACCATTTATTAGAGGAAGTAACTCTACATAATAGTAAAAATTTACTGCAATGTATAAGTAAGGTTGGACAACTAAAAATTTACTAAATTAAATTAAACCGCCAACAATTAAAGTCCAAGCAAAATAAATTCGAGGAAAACACCAATTTATTATAATTTGGCAACAATCTTAGCAAAATTACTTAAATAAGTAACAAAATACAGGCAGAACTACTGCCTCAAGCAACCAAACTATCAATTAATGAGATAACTCACGATTATTCTAGACTTTTCTTGTCTTCTTTAACTTCAACTGCACTAAAGTATCGAACTACGTCACCTTTTATACACTACGCAGAACAGTTGTTGGTATTAGACTATCCAACTATCATTCTAAAGTACTCCAATTAAACTAGCAATCAAGTACACATGATAAGATAAATTATACCTTAGATTCCCGAAAACTATTAAATTGACACAGGTACAGTTTAACTTGAAACTGTACTTTTCTACAGTATACACTAAGACAAAATATTAATCTTAAATCAGAACCCAAATCAAATGTCTGAGTTCATACCGTATGCAAGTACAAAGTAATATTAACTTCTACTGTACTTAATGATCAAAATTAGCACATGTGTAATCTATTAACTAAACATATCACCTGAATTACAAACTCACTGCATCTGATTCTTAATAAAAACTATGCTACGGATTATCTTAAATTCTAACCCAAATAATGCAGTCGGGTTTACAAAACTCGTATACTTAGATACTAAGTAAAATTTACTGTTACTATCAACCAAGAAGGTTATATTATAGTCAACTTCAAACAAATCGATATTAAAAAATTAATTCTTGAATGATTGTAAAAGCCTTATATCTGTAGCAATAATTTTTATGAATTCTATGTACGTTAGAATTAGATTTAAATGGTTTCATTTTGAAATTTTTAATATGACAGAAATAACTACGTATCAAGTTTCGAATTATCTTAACCTTAAACAAGGCTTAATCAAGTTCAAAATTGATGACTCCATAACTTATTTCAACTTGGATTAATTTGCAAGTATTCAAATACTGGTACGTAGAAATCGTCTTTTAATGACTATTTAAAATCGTTACTTATTTTATTGCCTTATATGCGAGAAATAAAATAACAATTAAAGACAAATTTGACATGTATAACAATTTTACTCTAGATTATACGGTAATATCGACATAGTTTATATTGGTACGTCGGCTAATTACATTTTATTATAATAATTATCATACACATTTCCTAGATTGTTATATGGTTTAGCGATTTCGGGATGATTATGAACAAAGACTAATAATAAATTTTTGAATGAATGGCCTCTTCATGCTTACCCTGCTTATAAAATGCAACTCCTATGTTGCGATATGATACAGCAATATTGAGATGATTATGATCAAAGACTGATTGAATTTCGATTGACTTGTATACGTGGAAATAGCTTCTTCATATTTGCCTTGATTAAAATATCCACTTCCTGGATTGTTATACGATTTGGTAACATTGGGGTGGTTGTGACCAAAGGCTACCAATCTAGTTTTGAGTGACTTCTCATACATAGAAATGGCCTATTCATACTTGCCTTGGCTAATATATACATTTTCAATATTGTTATATGATGTAGCAATATCCGGATGATTGTGATTAGAGACTAACAATCCAATTTTGAGCGATTTCTCATACATAGAAATAGCTTTTTCATGTTTGCCTTGATTATTATATACAATTGCTAGATTGTTATATGATGCAGCGACCTCTGGATGATTGTGATCAAGAACTGACAATTTAATTTTAAGTAATATCCTGATACAGTTTGATCGATCGTATTATAAATCGACCGAGCTATATCAAACGAACGAAGCAAGGTATTCTTAATACTGTAGATATACAAGGTATGGTATGGCTATAAGTGTGCTCATGGAAAGAGTGTATAGTACTCAGTATTAAATAAGACTTAGAATTTTTACATCAAAAAACCAATTTAAAATCAACTTTTTAAATTCTATGAAATAAGCTAAAACATTTTATTAGGCCTTAAGCTTAATATATCATATAAGGAGTAAAGTACACAAAAAATAACATTTTTAAGCGTATCACTTTCCAAATATTTAATAGATTTAAAATTTTTTATTATGTTACAATCCATAAATGGATTCACCATTTTCATACTAATCAATATTGTACAGTACCAAATGTGCTGTAATTTATACTGTATCATCGGCCATCTTTGGGGCAACGTACCAAAAGGTGCCTTGTCCAGTAAAGTTTTTGGTAGTCCATGCTATAATATAAAGTTTGAAGCTGTTGATAGTAATAGGTATACGCATATGAGTAATGCTAGCGATGATTCAAGTATATTGCTTTCAGCTTTATAGAATGTGATGCTAAGTATAGAATTTCGTTCTCATGCTAAGTTCTATAAACGTGAAGTGATCTTCTTCGCCATCTCTTTATCTTGTAAACAAATTAGGTAACGTATTCATTTCTCTATCGTTATTGTTCATTTATAGTCTTTCTAAGATCTGCGGTTTTAAGAGTTTTTCCTTGTCTTTGCGAGCGCATTGTTACCATCACGTAGTAACTCAATCGTTAGAGAGTCAGTAATAAAATCTATTCTTTGTGTGATGTATACTCTTAGAGTTAGCAGAACTGATTTGGAAACGGCTACATAATGTCGGAACGTAAATATGCATACAAAGATACCAACGTTAACAATCAGTTGTCGTTGTAGCAATCATTATGGTCACGAAATGGTAGCACAAGGAAACAATAAGGACAAAGGACGTAAAATATCACGCTCATCAAGGACTTTACTGTTGCAAAGTGTTATGAGCGTAACTTTAATACTATGTTGTATTTAAACATCCGTGATTACCATCAGTAAATGCATGTAATCTTTACACTAAGTATTGCATCATAACCAAATGTAAGCCATTCAAAACTGCGTTATAATCTTTGTAAAGTAGAACAATAGTGCAACCAGTTAATTGTCATTTTAATCTGCGATAATTTCGAAAGAGTATATTGATAATTGAATTATTTATAGATAGTACCTAATCTATTTATAGTTTTAGTTAGAATAATTTTAGTATCACATTCTGTATGATACCCGCAACTTGCGGAGTAACTATCCTACGTCAGCAGAGTACTTTGTTGTATCCTATGAAAGCCAAATAACTACTATAGATTCTAGTCTCCTAGTTACAAATTATTATCCCATAAATCTTTTTAATGACATAACGGTAAATGGATATTGTTAACAATTGCATGAATTATTCCTTTGATCTTCCTATCACATAATAACGAAACCCGAAAGGGACGCAGGGGTATGGCCAACGGGTGGCGGGCAGAAGTTTCTAAGCGTATAGATGTATGGCACTGGTAATGAATGATGCGCTCAAAGCGATAAATTCACGTGATATAATCTTTTTGTCGATCATCGTAGGCGTTTCTATACAACTAGATACGTTAAAATTGTTTATAATAGAATATCGATGGTATATAACGTCATTTACTAATCTAACACACTTTCTAAACTCCGTAAACAACGTAGCTTACTAATCTAATACTCTATCTACACTCAAAATTAAAATAAAAGCTTTTCAGTGTCTTCCTCGTGCTGAATTTATAACGGTGTTCTAACTATTGGATATATAAGGTACATTTTGTCTCCTATTTTCTGATTTGTGTTGCATATTATCTATTGTAGCTAATATTAAACTTGGATTGACTTAAAAGTAGACGTTGAAATTGGCCATCTATGTTTATTTATATAAGCTGTAATATACTTTATAGTTCTAATTTGCCTTACTAATTTAGTTGAGTTTTTGGTAGAGTTGGTTGATATTACTAATTCTCAGCTTGTACTTTATCTTAAACGAGGTTTGTAACTACTAATGTATTTTATGTCATACAATTTTTACTAACGTAAACGTAGGATAATTTTTTTCATTAATAAAACTAACTTGATTATAGGCAAGTGGTCGCAATCTAGAACAAATTATAATTTTAGTTCTCCTAACTTACGCGCATTTTTCTTGCCACTAATAACTGATTTTCAATTTTAGTATTACAAATACTCTAGCCTGCGAAATATTCCTTGGAGCGATTGTTGTTTAAACCGTAAAAAATGGCTGCTGATCAATATTTTAGGTCTGTTAGCTGTCATCACTTGCAATCTCTATTTGAAAAGGGTCGGAAAGAGATGCTTGCCTATAACTTTGAGAAAGCGCTATCTTGTTATTCACAAATAATAGATAAGATTGGCTTGATGGACGATATTTCTGCTAACATTGATGGCCTTCAATGCGACATATATATCGACATTTGTTACATTTATACGGAACAATATGAATTAATAAAAGCCAAAGAATTGGTTGAGAAATCATATCAGTTGGCTAATAAGTTGCAAGATGAAGTCAGGATAGCTCGATGTTTATACAGACGAGCTGAAATTAAAATACTGCAAGGTGATTTGGATGGAGCAATGGAAGATAGCCAGAAATCCTTGGAAATAAAATTAAAAAGCGGCATACATAATTTACATATTGCCAATGGATATGAGCAGGTTGGACGTATCTATGATGAAGGAGGCAAGTGTAATGAGGCTCGTTCTATGCATTATGAGTCGCTCAAAATTCGAATGTCAGTCTTTGGCCGCGATCATTTTGATATTGCTAAGTCGGATACCCACATCAGAGAACTTGATAGAAATCAAAATAAGCTTGATGAAACTCTTTCCGTTAAATCACTCAAAATTAAATTGTCACTTCTTAGCCGCAATCACTCTAAGATTTCTCATTCATCTAACAACAGCAGAGAAGCCCGTACAAATCAAGGTATACATGATAAAGTTCCCTCTGTGCCAAACAGTCCACTCGAAACTCATTCGCCAGTTCTTGGCCATAATCATCCTCATGCTGCGGAGTTATATAATAACCTGGGAACTGTATATTATAATCAAGGTAAGTATGATAAAGCTTTTACTATGTATGATAAGTCGCTCAGAATTCTGTTGTCAGTCGTTGGTCCCTATCATCCCCATATTGCGGACTCCTATAGTAATTTAGCAATTGTTTATGGAAATCAAAGTGAATATGAAAAGGCTCTTTGTATGCATGGTATGTCACTAAATATTCGATCGACAATCCATGGTCATAATCATCCTGATGTTGCTACATCGTATAGCCATATGGGGGATGTATATGATAGTCAAGGCAAGTACGATGAGGCTCTTTCTATGTATGATAAATCTCTTCAAATTCGATTATCAATTCTTGATGACAATCATCCTAGTGTCGTTCTTACGAAACATAATATAACCAACACTTTTCAACGAAAGCAATCGATGTTAACTGGCAAACCTGTTAAAAATCCACAACAAACAGTTCAACAAAGCAATAGTAATTCGTCAACAAAATCAAGTGGCAATAACGATTTTAGTCAAGGTAACATCAGACAATAAAGTCAAGATCATAGTAAATTAGTTCTACAATTTAAATATTTACAAAATTCTTAGTCTAATCATTCCACTCTCTATTTCAATTTCGTACAGCTTTAAAAGGGAAGATTTACTATAATGCCTACATTAGAGCATTAAATCAAGGGCGCTGCTATAATAATTTGATACGAGGGATGTTTACTGGCCCTCGTTTTGTCGGTAAATCATCCATTATGGAGGTATTTACCGGTATTCAACAAGTATTAATTAAGAATCAAGCTCCAACACAAATTCTCCAGAAGTCGAACAAAGCCATCGAAATCAAAACTTATCGTATTCGTGATATGACCATTTGTCATCCCACGGACATATTTAATGAAAAAGTCATGGCAGTTATCTGGGAATTAGTCGAGTTGGCTAAAGATTACCATGAAGATATAAGCGGGCAAATGAACCGGCAAACGACAGCAGTTAATATATCGACCAAAGATCGAAATAAATGTCCTATAGCCAAGCTTAGTCGGAATATGACAGAATTTACACCACCTCGAATTACTATAACTCAATCTAAGTTCCATTCACATCAAGTTCAAGCTATATTTCAACATTATTTTAAGTCTATGCAAAATGTGGATAACTATATACATCATGATAATCAATATGTCAAAGTATGGGATTTCGGTGGTCATGCTTTCTATCAGGTGACTCATTATCCATTCATGTCTCCTAATAGTATTTACTTTCTTGTATTCAATATAACTCAAGGTATTAATGATAAGGTCATGACAAGAAGCGGAAAATCACTCAACATCACTTACTTACAGTCTATGCAGGAATGGTTAACTTCAATTATCGCTGGCCACAGTAGCCACGATAAAATTCCTGTTAAATTCGATAATCAATGTGAAGAGTATTCGTTACCTATCATTATTCTAATAGCATCGCATGGTGATTGTATACCAAATGAAAATGAAAAAATTGATCGATTTAAAAAATTTGGAAATGAATTAATTTCGTCAATGCCGAGCTATAAAAGCAATATATATTCTTCTGGTATCATTTTTAACTGTGATCCTGAAGATAATAGTCCATCGACAATGGAAGAACGTAAGCGGTGTTGTCTTCAACTCCATAGCGTTATGAAACAATTTGTTCAATCAGTGCCATTTATGAAAAATCCTATTCCTATCCGATGGTATATTATGGCTACAATATTACATAAATCAGTAAGTTATCATGTTGATCAAGGTAATAATCAAGCTAATAATGAAGTTAGAGCATCTGCGATCAATGAAATTATGTCCGACGAAATTAATAACATTATGACAATACAGCAAGTAACGCTATTATCTAAAAAATATGGGTTATACGAAAGCGATGAAGAATTAATAAAGATGTTAATGTATTTACACGATTTAGGTGAAGTTATATTTTGTGATAAAGTGGGAGATGGAGGAGTTGTTGTAACAGATGTCGATTGGTTATTGCGTATATTTCGTGTTATAATCCAATTACATGATTATCCATTTGGAAGTCTAGACAAACAAGATGAATATGAGAAAGTTCGTAAAACTGGAAGGATATCTACAAATTATATTGATTATGTTCTTGAAGAATTTAAATTAGATGATGATACTAAGAGAAATATAATTGATTTGATGGAGAGTTACGATATTGTATGTGGTATTAGAGATGGACAAAATAAAGTTCTATGCGAATATTTCGTTCCATATCTATTACAACCTGATGCTAAGCCATTTGATTTATCACAGTATCATTTATCGGACTGGTTGTATATTGGATTTGAGCTTGAAGATATACCATACGTCACTGACGGAATTTATTACTGCCTTCTATCATCTTGTTTAAAGGAGTGGAATAACACAAAAGTGGAAATTTATTACCAGTGTGCTAAATATTATTTGAAGGAAGATCATCATTATATCATTATCAAAAAGGAAGAATCCTATATTGGTTTACAATATTGTTATCAAAAGTTGGAACAAGATCAAGCTGATAAGCTGCTCGAGCAAAAAATAAAGGAGTCGATACGTAACAAGTGTCCACAGGATATTATTAAAAATAAACTATCATCGATAGTTCATGAAAGGATGCCAAAATTTAAAAATGCTTTATGTTACTATTATGTTCGATGTAAATGTAATAGACTAACACGAACAATTAATAAATGCTCCCTGCAAGATGTCCAGATGATTAATTGTGAACATTGTAATACCTTATTTCCAAGTCAGTTCGATAGCGATTGGATGATTTATGACGATGGATTAATGATAAGTATGTGATTACTAGTTATATTTTATTACTACTATGACCATGTCAATAAAAATACTCAATCTACAGTCTACATTACATATGCACGTAAGGAATTGTTGTAGCTACCTGCTAAATAACCTTCTTCGATTTTATTTGTCTTATAAAGCGTTATATGCAGTATATGTATCATAGTATATATGTGCTAGCATAGGCGCCAGACATGTAATGTTATAGTTCGTAAAGTACTTACTAGTCGATTTTAAGTTAAGCTTCGTTCAAATGAAAGTGATTAGTTGATTAAATTTTCTAATTTGTGATTATACATCTAATAGCTCAAAAGCCGCGAAAACAACAAAAGTTACATAGTAATAGTAACGGCCAAGGTAAAGCTAGTCAACTAACATTTTACTCGATTTGTATCTTAGTCTGTTTGTAGCCAATGAGGTAGCTGATTAGTTGTTGATTAAATTTTAAAATTTTGATTATACATCTAATAGCTCAAAAGCCGCGAAAACGACAAAAGTTGCATAGTGATAGCAACGGCCAAGGTAAAGGTAGTCAACTAACATTTTACTCGATTTGTATCTTAGTCTGTTTGTAGCCAACGAGGTAGGTGATTAGTTGTTGATAAAATTTTCAAATTTTTAATTATACATCTAATAGCTCAAAAGCCACGAAAACGGCAAAAGTTACATAGTGATAGCAACGGCCAAGGTAAAGCTAGTTAACTAACGTTTTACTCGATTTACATTTTAGTCAGGTTGTAGTCAATGAGATAGCTAGTTGTCTACTTTTCAAATTTTTAATTACATTAGATAAACATGCTATAGTAAATTATAATTATCACTCATGTTATGGTGAATCAATATAATGTTGAATGCCTTGTACCCTACCGATCTAATTCGTTATGTAGTCGATAATTCCTATCGTTGCAAGTAATATGGCAATAGATTTGTTTTAAATATACGCATCAATTAGCGTACGTTAGGAGCAGATAGAAGCAAATTCCTGCATTACTTACAAATATCTAGTTTATCTTGATTTACTACAATAGTTTAATCAATGGTAAGGACGGCAATTCGTCCGCTTCACTAAAGATCTAAATTAGTTATGCAAATTATAAGAGAACAATTTTCTTCTTACTTTCTTGTTTCCAATGCAACCCCGCATAACTAAAGAGTAATGTACGAGATAGACATATTTGTAGTGTATAATCTCTTTAATAATACCATATAACAGCACTTTACTATATTATTGTATCTTATGATAATAATCATGTTTATGTATAGCTATTATGATATTGTTTGTTATAGCTTAATCTGATACTTAAATTTGTTGTTTTTATAGCAGATATAACTCGTTACTTCTTCACTATTGCTGAATTTATTGGGACTGATTGGACTCGGCTGGCAGCTAGATTAGATCCACAAATTGACATTTCGCCCATCAAGAGGCAGAACAGTGAGGTATTTGATCAAACCATCGCATTTCTACAGATTTGGCGTCGTCAACATAAAAACGCTACTACCAAAGAATTGCTGGATGCATTTCAAGATTTGAGGCGAAAGGATATAATAAGCAAGATCGAAAATATGCAAGGATCAACATAATTCCCTGACATAAGATATTTATTAACTTTAGACTAAAGGAAAATGTGTTTGTATTTAAAAAGAAACATCCTAATTAATCCTATATTGATAGTCTAATACGATACACCGTAGAATCGATTGAATTTTTTTTACGATGTAATTATGTTAGCACTGTATCGATGGAAATAGAATAGAATTAAATTATCGACTGTTCTTGATTAATGATACATAATTGTTTAACTTAACTATGATTAGGGTCTACTTGTCTATAACAACCGTGCACCAAATGATGATTGAATTGCTTGCAATACTTGAATGAATTTATAATTTGTGTAACTAAATAAATAATAGCTGTAAGCCAAGTATCGTAAATGAAGAAAAATTTCGACGAGTAATAAATACTGTATATTGAGGTATTATCTCATATTCGGCCTAATGCTTTGGTTTATTGGTGATACATTTATTAATGTAATTATTTTAAAAATGTGCGTAATGGTAAGCAACAAGGAAATTATGACTAAATATCGTCTCCAGTTTCCCTTCAGTAAACAGCTACCCTACTGTAATAAAGTGTCTTCTCCAAAAAACAGCAAGAACTACAGCTTCTTGTACACTTCACTTTATATTACATAAGATTAGGTTCGTCTCATAACTAATAAGGACTATCTAAATTACGATAGCAATATTTACAATTTATATATAATTAGTTACACAATGATTTTCTTTCAAGCACAATCATATTTTACCAATTAAGTTACAAGTTCACATCTAAATTTACCATCACGCTATCAATTCATAATTCGCGCTTCCAATTAAAGCGTTTCAATACAAATCTCACAGTACTAGCATAATTAGCGCTATCTATTATTATCTTAGAATCTTAATATAAGCATCTCAATACAATTACTACAATACATTCCGTAAACATCTTCCACAATTAGAAACTTATGCAGTCTTACAACCTAGCGTACAATTTATCAATTTTCGCATTATTCCATAATTTTAGTCTTAAGCTAATTTGGGGCTTCACTACATCTACTAATACTGTAATATCGCAAAAATTTTCACACTATCGCATTACTGTAATGGACTATCATAAAAGCATTGACTACAGCCTTAGTTTAGTCCTACTGGACATAACATAAATCAAGACCATATTAATTAAGGCACCAGTTGATAATTAAATTGGATGCGTTTGGTGCTAGCTCTCGTCAAAATCAGCCCTGGAAAGCAGGAGATTATATTATATGAGAAGGAAATCCCATAGTGATTTGCGAATCTTCATCTCTTCATGGTTTACGTAGTAGACGTGTTTTGTAACATTACTGTAAGGCCTATAGTAGCTCAATTCATTTTTTTTTCTTTCTTAACCGGTATAAGAATACGTGAACTACTGAATAAGATAGAGCACAGCAACAGTGGGACGACCACGGTACTGTACACTGTACAATAGAGTACAGTATAAGAATCAAATGTGGCGAAGAAGATAGACTAGACCGAAAATGTCCGAGTGACTTAGTATGGATCTTCTACGTTTGCTTTCTTCGATTTCTGCTACTGATTTAAGCACATTTTGTGGCGTTTTATAACTACTTTCAAACAAGGCTTAATAAAATTGAATAGAATTTCATGTAATAGTACTTAATATCGAAAGAATAAGTAACTTGCAGTACAGCATCGACTACCTACATCACTACCAAGTCAAATGTCCGACCGTCCGAGTGTTGTTGTACGTATTTCCATCATACCAAAACGAAAAGGAGTAGAAGAGCGTTGGTGGATGCCAGTAGTCGACAGCGTTCAAAGTTTGGGGCAATTGATATTATCCATGAAATCGAATTGGAGTACATTTTGACTGCAACCAAGCCTTCATCAATATTTAGCCAAAGTGTACAAGTTTACTAGTCCATCATAGCGGATGCAAGTGAGGATTGAAATGTGAGTATCCATCAGTTATTCTCCTACAGAAATTTACAAATTTAATTTCTCTAGCTGAAAGATGGCATAATTCATGCGATCCTATCTGAAATATTTTACTCAGTTAATTAAATAAGTACGCCAAGTATCACACGCTGGGGCTTCGATTAGTTAATTAAATCTTACACGTAAATTGGTTTTAATTTTACAATTGATCTCGCCTAGAATATAAGACCAACTTACGATATATCAGACTAGAGCATTTTGCATTACCTCAATTGACACGATTGAAAATAATTATGATTAGACAACAGCAACTACGTTTATCACGTCTCTAGATTACAGCATTTTTTTGTTATCCTGTACTAATAATGTAATTATAATATCATCTACTAGGGTAAATATTCACGCATCATCAAAGTCTACGTATAAGTTGCATTAGTTATAGTTGGCTAATTGTAAATTATCAATCGCAAGTGTTCAACTATAAATCTGTATCACTTACTAGAACAAGTACTTACATATCATCAAAGTCTAGCTAAATGTTATAATAGTAATTGGTTCATTGTGAATGATCGACCGTGCGTCTTAAACTGCAAATCTGTATCATTGACTAGGACAAGTATTCACCTATCATCAAAGTCTAGCTAAACGTTGCATTTAGTAATAATTGGTTAATTGTAAGTTATCAATCGCAAGTATTGAAGTGCATATCATTTGCTCTTAAAACAATCATGGCCGACCGCCCTAAGCTTTATCAATTTACAAACTGCCGTATACTTCGCGATCACAAATTGATCCGATCGGATTTGTGGGTGCGAAATGGTCGAATTTTAAATCCTAAATTACTCTTTTGGGATGAAAAGGTCCAAGCCGATGTGCGCATTGATTGTTGTAATTACATCATTTCTCCTGGTTTTATTGATGTCCAGATCAATGGTGCTTTCGGGATTGACTTCTCTTCACCAGACATCGATATCAGCCATGGCTTACGAATAGTTAGCAAAGGATTACTACAACATGGCGTCACGGCCTATTGCCCTACAATCGTTACATCTTCTCCTCAAACGTATAAGTCAATCTTACCACGAATCAAAAAGAGACCGGGTGGCAGTCATGGTGCTACCGTTTTGGGAGTCCACTTAGAAGGGCCTTATATCAACCCTCTGAAACGTGGAGCTCACGAATGCGAAATGATACATTCTAAAGTTGAAAATGGATTGGAAACCTTATTGAATACGTATGGCAGCTTAGATAATGTTGTTTTAATAACAATAGCACCTGAAATACCAGGCATACTCGATGCTGTTCAAGAACTTGCACAAAAAAATGTTGTCGTGTCTCTTGGTCATTCTGCTGCAACACTATCTCAAGCTGAAACTGCTGTGAACCGTGGTGCTTCGTTTATTACTCATTTATTTAATGCCATGGTTCCGTTTCATCATCGAGATCCTGGTTTAATAGGCTTAATTGCTAGCAATAATGTACCTGCTGGTAAAACTATTTATTATGGTGTTATTGCCGATGGTGTTCATATACATGAGTGTGGATTAAGAGTTGCGCATAGGATTAACCCAGCAGGTCGTAAAAAATACCGTTAAGAAAAGTGATCTAATTAATAATTAATTTTATGATGTTTTCAATTCTTGTCATGGATATAATCGGATATTTTAGCTATTATATATCTCTTCTTTCTACTTGATAAACAGGCACTGTTTTAATAACGGATGCCATGGCTGCTATGGGATTAAATGTCAAGAAGTACCAACTAGGCCCTATGGTTGTTGAGATTCGTGATGGCCATGCATACTTGGAATCAACTAATACCTTAGCGGGTAGCGTTGTAACTATGGATTCTTGTGTTAAATATTTTCGTCAGGCTTCTGGTTGTACGGTTGTTGAAACTTTAGAAGCTGCAACATTACATCCTGCATTACTGTTAGGCATCGCAGATAGTCAAGGTACATTAAGTTTTGATACCAACGCCGATTTTACTGTACTGGATGATAACTTGAACGTTATGTCAACTTGGATAGCAGGTCGACGTGTATGGATGCACGATGACTGTCAGATGGTGTTAACAGACTAATAGTTATATTTTAAAAGTCGATTATCAATATACCAATATTTCTGTAATATGTATATATAGCCCTTAGAAGTTGGAACAGGTACGGACCACTAAAAGGTTTTCTTGTCATGGTCCATGGAATAGGATAACTTAATACTTGCACAAGTGTATATTGTCTCCTAATTTAAAAAAATATCTTACCGCTAATTACTGTAATATTTCCATTTATCGATTGCACTGATAGATTTGTTGGATGGCAAAGCTTTTCAGTTTGCCTAAAATTCTATGTAAGTATAAACTTGTCATACTCAAGGTATTCGAGTATATTTTAGATTGGAATGCGAGTAATCTACTACTTTGAGCCACAAGTATACGATTGCTAGCAGTCCCTAATATTTACAGGAATTACTTCCAAAGTAATTTTCATTGTTAAGCAATCTCTTTATTACATATACAATTGGTATATAACATGAATTTGTCATCTTACAATAATGTATCACAATAAAAGACTGATAATACATTAAACATATAATATTACAACTTTGAAAAAAATTACAAAGATGTCGAGCTCTCGCTACTGTAGTATTTGGTATGTATAACAGTTTTAGTGCTAACGATTATTATAGTTTTACATTAGAAATCACTAATGTTCACATTAACGTAAATACGAAACAATCCCAACAAAAATACAAAATTCAGTAACACGGATAAAACATGAATGACAACTTCGACGGTAGCAACCCAAAATACGGTAGACTACAAAATAGTAACTGGCAGTATCAAATACGATTTCCACTCTTATGGCAGGTATACGGTTTCTATTAATTATCAAAGTAACATGATCGAGCTTATAGAAGTAATTCCAAATCGGATCATCATTATTTTAGTTAAATACTACTGTATAAATATTTTACTATGGTATACAGTTTAAGAGGGTCGTCAAGAACTCATTCGGATTATCAATTTCTGTTTGTAAACCTAAGTAAAAATTTTTCGATTGATTAAGTTTAGGTATTGTCTACAAGTATCTGGGTAGAAATACTAAGAAATCAGAAGTATATAGTGTCATTATCTTCCTCATCTGAGTCATTTACCTGTTATGTCTAAGAATTCTTCAACCGATTCCATATTCAGTAAATCTCTTTGGTACAATTTCAACAGCTGTATTAGCAAAAAACGGTTAAAAATATTTCTCATTAATAGGATTCAAATATATAACTGAACGTTGTAATAAACCTCGGTGTTCTTACTTTATCACAATTTTCTTTAACGACAACGTCATTGTAACGTAAATACTCCAAATAGCTATGACAAATTCCATCGTTGCCAGGTAACAAATTTATCTGCCAACCGTAAATAGAAGGAAAACACTAACATTACAAAAAGACGTCCATAATTGCGATTATTTTCGTAAATAAAATACTTCTATACCTTAAAATGTTTATATATTCCATCTATCAAGGCAAAGAAAATTAGAACAGGTCTATAAACTTCAAATTTAGCTTTCTTTTTATTGCTTAATCTGTGAAAATGAAAATAGAAATGTTAGCAAATACATTGACTACTGCAAAAGGCAAGAAATTATAAAATAATTAGTATTGAATTACCTTGAAGTTCCTTTCGGTGATATATGTCTTGTATGAGCACAAATGATCAGCCTTTTTAAGAACAATATACGGTTTTCTCTCCAATTGTTGTACGTGTAGACGAGGACAGACAAGATAGTGTAATAATATGGCCCATCAATCTATATAGGTTAAAGTAACACAATTGCTATAATTATTAAATATGAATTTAAAGACATGTAGAAAAAATTATTCCATCTACCTGTAATAAATTACATGTGACTAATGAGTGCAAGTATACATACAAGTGCGTGTTTACATGCAAATAATAACCTCATATGCAGATTCGATCCATTTAGCTTCGGGAGTACTAACGAATGCTTTCATTGATTTTTCTTCTCTCATCAATCCACGGGTTCTGAAATTTAATTTAGGTTAAATACAGTGTTGATACCGATAACTTCGTATAGTCACTACGAATACGTAGACAAGTATTCGTATGTGTATTTAAGGTATCCAGCATACTTACGAGTTTAGCACATAAAGAGTCATACTAATGAGGTACGGCAATAAATATATATTGCTTTCAGGGCCCCCACCACCACTTTCATGACTGAAAGACTTTTCATGAGCAAATAGCAACAATAAGTGTTTTATATCATGAACTGAGGTATGAAATGATGGTTCAATATGAGTACAGTCTTGTATGTAATTGTTATGACTAGCTAAGCACGCTGCAAAAGAAGACTCTGGAATTTCTGGTCCCCAAATTGGAAGAAGTCCATTACATTTGGTATTTCCATTATGAAGAATAGCACTCTCCCATTCGTCACGACTCCGAGCCAGTCGAACTGCAGAAGCATGGCAATCGAAGTGAATAACATTAAAGTATGATACTGTAGTATATCCTGGCGTTTTACTAGATCGCTTTTCAAATTCATCCATAACTGTTCTAGTCGTAAACGAATAGACACCCAGGACTTTCTTAGGATGATATTTATATCCTTCACGACAAACGCAACAGATTAAACCAGTTTCCTCTGCTATTTCATTCATTTGCTCGAGTAGTTGTGGCTTAGCTTTTAATTGCCCTTTATCATTAGTTTTAAGTCCGATGGCTTCCAGTTGTTTCTTTCTCATAGCCATAGCTAATTTCTTCTTTTCGATTTTGGTATTTCGTCTAGCTCCTTTAACCATGTTAGCAACTAAAGAACATTCACTAAGAGTTTCTAGCAAGTTTTCAGCCAGGGAGCCAATTTGCTCTTCAGCTGAGACTTGTTCCAGCTTATGCAAGTTGATGATGACAGCATTCTCAGCTAGCAACTGGCTTTTTGTGTGTTTGGAGCACAATCCTTGTAGCATCCTTAAAACATAAGGCAGCGACGGTAATAATTTGATTTCCGCTGTATTAACTAAAATTGATTGTCCAATATTATATTCTTCGATATAGACAAATGCTTTTTGAGTGACTCCACTTGCGATTGCTACATCACGTATTTTTTCACCGTTTTTATTATTTGGAACATTCTCAGCAATGCGGCAGAAACAATCTAAAGAAAATTGTCCTTCGTTGTTCACATGCTCATCATAGCTTTTAAAATCAAGGTACGGTAGGTAATAATTGACGAGCATACGAATTTTGTCAACATCTCCAAATGTTACAAATGGAATCAATCTCATCAGAGCTTGAAAAACGTTTTCATTTGATCTCACGTATTTGCTGGATACTTGCTCCAACAGTGTGGCTAATTGATGCTCATCCTCACTAGTTCGTCCCTGTAATACTTCTGTTTCATCTGCAGTTGCAGTAGCAGCTTCTTGTAATACAGCCTCCATAATTTTGACGAGTTTTTCGATTATGACCGCACCGCTGCCATTAGGTGACTCTTTGACCATCTCAAGCGCAAGATTTAATGTTCCAAGCATAATATCTAATGCTCCAAGAGATGGCTTTAACAGAAATGAGCGAATTGATTTCAAGTTGATGCAATATTGCAGTAATTTCAGAATAGCATTTACTAGATCGTGACTGCCTCTTAAATTTTTAATCGTTGCAAGAATTGATAACATTACTTCTAAACCGCCACATTCACTAACGACTGATGCTAACTTATAAGATTCTTCCAGATCAGTTTCTTCTTCAGAGTCGCTCTCAAGTGATTCGATGATATCTTCAGTAGCATCACCTAATAGGCCAGTCATTCTATAAATTATTTTCATGGGACTATTCGCTTCGCCAGCCCAAACTTTTTTGTAAACTTTACTCACAGGTAAATCTAAACTAATGATCTTATTATTAACTAGCAATTCCATACTATTATCGTCTTCTAACAATGCAACAAGCTCGCAATCTGTACAGATTTTATTCTTTATATCACGCATCAAAGGGCCCATACCATGAGAACTTGAGCTATAAGGATTTCCCTGCATACGGCCCTGCAAGAAATCTTCTTGTTGAGGATCTTTATCCACAATGATGAGAAATTCATCGCTTTCATTATCTGGCTCAGGATATATAGTACTACATAGACGTTCAATAATAAACATTGGAGTTTTCATATCATTCGGGTGACATTTACGTAATATTTGGACACAGGTTTTTATGAAATCTTTCACTTCATCTTCAGTCCCACCCACTAGTTCTTCTAGTATTTCCAACAATAAATCCTGAGTTTCATCAATAATTTTAGTTCTTTGAATTACCAATCTTCTAATTGACAAGTAGCTATTAAGCACAATTCGCATCAATTGTGACCTGCAACGTACTTTTACTTGTTCTTGATTCGCAATAGCAATTAGAATCTCAGTTAACATCTTCAATGATAGTCCTTGTGTTAAATCAGAACTAAGAGATGATTCTTCTAATAACAATAATTTTTGCACTTCTTTTTCCATTAATATTTCAATTCGAGGAATTAACTTCTTTACGACTAAATATAGTTTCCAATGACGAGGTCTAGTTAATTTTTTGTATGTTTGCAACAACTCCATTGCCTTTTCACCGGCATCATCGATATAATCTAGTAGTTGGGTCAATAAATCTAGGATACGATGACAAACATAGCTATCTTGGCAAACTGAATCTAAAATTGAACAAATTATCTGGCGCGCAGAGCGTGAAGGCGAAAATAAAACGTCATGCAGCCAGCTTTCTGATAGAAGTAACTGATTTGATGATAGTAAAGCAGCTTTGCCATGCCGTAACTGAATATTAAACTTCCATAAACGACTATATTTTGACATTAGGTAAGTTTCATGAAATTTTTCGCGTGAGGTGCTATTCAACGATACTGCTAATTTCGATGGCGACATTTTCTTCCAATTTTCATAAACTCTACCATGATCATCAATAAGCCAGTTCTTTACATTGACATAGACCTCAGGCCCATCCGTTGATATAGATACAAGTGCATGCCCAGGTTTACCCTACGAAAAGTCATAGAAAAATAAACAATTAATGTTAGAGAAAGAAAAATCAACAAGTCAGTACGATATTAAATAGATTTCGAACCTTTTTATTGCTGCTCGTTGACATAGGGAGCTGAATTAATTTGGATAGAATTCGAAGACACGGGACAACGACATTTTCAATTGTTACAGGACAATTTGTTTTTGAAGCAACTAAACATAATCGTATTACTGTTTTTAGTCTATCTTCCCAACATGAGTCTTCAAGATCAACTGTGTCAATCAGCAGACGCATTTCTTGATGTAATGAGGCGGCTAAATTGTCTTTTGTGTAATGGCTGAACATCGACTGCTGTACACGACGCTCTAAAATGTAACTTATCTGCTTACTTATTGATTTGTTGTCCTTAGCTAAAAGGCATAGCAATTCCCGTGTGGTATTATGAATACGGGTTGTACCACTATGCAAATTATTTTTCATCAATTCTTCAATAATATCTTCCTCACAAAGCAAACTTTTCATAATCTCATTCGTAGCGAACGCTTTCATAACTGTAACACAATTTTCAACAGCAGCAACTGTACATCCATAGCATTTACCAATGGAGTGAATACTTACGACATTCTTCGAGCTTTCGTCAGAGCCAAGTAATATTTGGCTATTTGTTGAATCCACATTTAGTTCACCAAGGCTTTGCTTCGAGTTGTAATCTGTTAATTCTTTACGTGATATAAGAATTTCTTGAATAATTTTGCTAAGTTCATCAAAGGATGATTTACAATCACTGGCGTATTTCTGCGATAAAAGCTGGATAGTTTTGCTAACACGACTTCCACTACTGCTACTTGTACTAGAACTTGTGTGTCCTTCATTCGAATCCTTTGTATCGTTGCTTTCACTAACTTTAGCTAATAAAGCGTTTATTGGAGTTCTGTATGCTGCTAATTGTTTATAGATAACATCCGCGCGCTCCAGTAAGGTGTCAATATGAGACATCACCTGCATGTTAAAAACGTAATTTAAGTAGGGTATCGTTATAAATAGCAAAGTTTATGCACATCTAACTAGTTACACGAGAGTAAACATTATATAAAGAAGTTAACTATAAATAACCTTTTTACGATCCTCATCATTCTTAATAGGCTCAACAGAACAACAGGGTCTTGCTGTTACATTGATATCAAATTTGGCATATTTGCAAAAACCACAGCTATTACATAAGAACGGATCCCTTTCATCATAATTGATAGCTCGACATTTATGACATTGATAAACATTCTCTCCACAATGATTACAAATGCCAGGATTAGCAGGCACAGATGCACTACATCTAGGACATTGCAAGGTTTCCGCCGATGCTTGAAAGTTATCATAAAAATCTGCGAATTCGATCATAACATTTGTGGCGACTACCGGTAATGGAAGCTCAACTTTCATTTCTGATTGATTTTGATTTAATTGACATGATAAAGCTTTATCCCATAAGCGCTTGTTTTTCAACTCTACAATTGCTTGTACGGTTTTCGTATTGTAATATATATTAATCGTACGAATCATTTTTGCACGTTTAATGTCACTAATACGGATTGTTACAGCAGAAATCATATGACTGCATGATAATTTAACTATTTGAGTAGAAGCTGTGTAACGAGTGTCAGCCTTTAGTGAAGTTAGCTTGACTACATTAAATGGAATCTCTGGATTATTGCAAACTAAACAAGGGTAACTTTCAAGATAATATCCTTCGAAGTCAACAAAACTCATCAACTGATTATAGATACTTGCATTAGGATGATTCTTCAATTTTTCATTTAAAACTCTTAATAGTTCGATAACTTTAATGGAAAGCGCATTCAATTTTTTAGCTACTAATACTTTACTAGATATATGACCAAGAAGACCAACAAATTCTTTCGCTTTTCTTCCGTAAGCTGGAATAAGCGGCCATAAATCACATAATACATCAACAACAACTTTTTGATCCTCCATTGATGCACTTTCGTAAATTGATAGCATTAAGCACAACGTTTGAAATCGCACATTATGTACATTTGATTCTAATAAAAATTTTCGAAGGAAGTGTGCAAGAGTTGTCTTAGGGATTATTTCAAATATTTTACGAGTCAACGATGGATTTGTCGATTCAGATAGTGATGAGGTCGCATTAGTTATACTTGATGAATTAGTATTATCATTTTCTCGATATGAAATCGCTAACAGGTCTAATATTATGGGAGCAATACCCTCATCAAATGCAACAGTAACTTGGATAAGATATGGTACTATAATATCGTTGGAAAAACAGAAGGAATGCCAACTCGCCGGTCTTGCAATACTAATGTCGAGACACTCTCGTAAATGTTTGACCATCTGACTTACTACATCATACGGTAGTGAAATAGAAATAGGTCTTATATACGTTGAGGATAATCGAAAACCATGGCTAGAACATATTTCTTGCACTTTTGCAATATGATATTTTATCGTGTACAAATCTAACTGCCTTCGGTATACTTGCTTTGATCCACAAAGATACATTAATAATTTTCGTGCTGCACGACGAACGGCCGGTGTTAATTGTAAAATCATATACTCGGATAAGATATTAAACCATTCCTGACGAAATTCAGGAATAACCATGTCTGCTCCCTGTGATTCCGCTAATTTCTTGATTTGGTAAGGTATTTTCAGTAAAATTTCGGTAAGCTGCTGAACGTAATTAGCGAAGACATCGTTTACGTGAGTCCTAACATGTCGCCGTAGAAAAAACGGAGACATATCAGGAAGTAGATTAGTACGCCGTTCTTTCAGCAATACTCCAACAGAAGATACATATTGATGTGTTGGATAGACTTCTTTCCAGTATGTACTTAATGCCTTAAGAGCACCGAGGCAGTAATCTAATATATTGTAGCGCATTAAATAAGACGCTGTTAAGACGCAAGCAGATAAGGCGGATCTACTCATTCCTTTCACCTTCGTCATAAGTACACCCAAGAATTTTAGAAACATTAACTGTAAGTCATGGCGGGATGATCGATCTGTTAGTCCACTAAATCCTTGCGATTGTAAGTCTAATTCTGATACTATAGTATCGATGACGTTAATCAGAGTTTGTCTTTCGTGTTCTTGGTCATCAAAATCGCTGCACAACATAAAGACTACTTGCATAAACGGAACTATTTGCAGACCGTCAAGATTTCTTAACTTTGGAAAATGGTCTAAGAACGATTCCAGAAAGTGGCATCGAAGGTTATGTAGTTTACTGCTTACAACTAAAGCTTCGTCACCAATCTCGCTAACGGTTTCTGTACTCTAATTACGAGATTATAGGAATAAGGTTAGTAAAGATGGACGGCAATATATATACAATAGGAATGCTTCTATACCTTCATAATGATATCATCTTTGATAAGCCTTGCTGACGTAGATCCTGTATCAGCATTCACATATTCTCCATCAACGCTAGTTGTGGCACTACTTACACCAACTACATCGCCTTATAGAATAGTGTTAATGCAATATCTTAGATTAATAAATGATAAAAGTGGATTGCGTAATATATTATTTCTAAAAGGTACCAGTTAATGATTCTGCAGCGCTATTACATTCGGAACCAGCCGCCCTTGGAGATCCTCGCATTGTTGAACTTGCAACTGTGGCAGCGGTACTATCCATTTCGCCTTCCTCATCACTGACAGCTAAGCGATTAGATTTTACAATAATCATTTTTATTATAATTGTAATTTTAATGTACGCGTACAGTATGACCTAGCTAACCTGAAGCAGTAGCATCAGATAATACGCCAACTTCGATCAGTGAACCAGCCTAACAACAATCAGTATTAATGATTAGAAGTTCATGTAAAAACATTTTATGATTTTATTGACGTAGTACTGATACCTGAGCATCCTGGATACTAAGAGAAACAGCTAGCTCCATCATTGCTTCTTCATCATTTGCATCCAATATAGGAGATATCTGAACAGCTCCACCTTATATTAAAATGTGAAGTATGTGACATATTGTATAAAATGTACGGTGAAAAGAATCGACAAAATGTTACCACTAAGCAGTGATTCCAAAGAACCATGAGTAGAAGCCATTTCAGCTAGCGTTCCTAATCCAGGCCCTAAATTATTCGCTGCCGATACCAAAGATGAAAGAGTAACTGGCTGATCAACCTGCGTAAAATTGAAAACGACGAATAAGAAAAAACGCAAATCAGGGTTCAGTGATAGCAGCAAATGCTGCCATGAAAACGTTACCGTTTCTGAATGTTTCGGTTCTCCAACATCACTAGTAGCTTCAACACTTTGTTCGTCCTGCTCTGTAGCCACATCGTCGCGGGGATTAGGTGGCAAAGATAGCACAACGCGCTTCTTTTTAGTCCTTTGGCGTAATACAAAACCTAACGCTTGCTTGCATGAAAACCCAATAGCTGAATCCTATCATATGAAATTTCGTAATAATAAATACTTAAGCAATCGAAATGAGTAGATTTTATGTATTACAAGATTGTTATTATATCCCAAAATTAAGTTAAATTAACCTCATGAAGAAGTAGCTTGACGTATAAGTCAGTTGCCATTGAAACATACGACGAGTCCATGACAGCAAAGGCACTCACGATATCAACTAATCCGAAAACAATTGTTTCTATCCTTGATAGTCCTATATGATAAAGCAAAGAATTTAGATTAAAATTCAATAAAACCAGCAAAAAATCCTTCTTTTCATGCATACGTGACTGTCCGACGGGAACAATTAAAGGGCTTGACGGAGAAGAAGAATATAATTGCCAAAAATTATTCATTAGTCTTTCGATAAGCTGAGGCGTAGTCCCGTCGCGAATAGAGTTGGAAGCTGGTCGACTCATAATACCGGTTACGGTACGATTATTAACTATATGAAAATATCAGATAAAGTTAATTAGTCCATAATACAAACTGGTGGTCCCAGCATTTAAAACTCACATTCTTCTCCACCATTACGATCAATACTGTTAGCAAAGGTTATCAAATTGATCGGTCGAGCTATGGCAATTGATCTAGCTATTCTAATTAAGCGTTCAAATAAATCAATCTTGATTTCGTTATCTCTTTTATGTTTTGATTCAAAAAAGTCTTCCAAAGTAGATTCTTTATCTTCTAGTATAAGAAATCCCGCTGCATGATGGAGTTGAGCTTGATCCTAATATTACATTGCATTCAAAATATAATTAACACAAAATTACATAAAATTAAAAAAAAGCTGATTTTCGATAAGAAGATTAAACCTTGTGATAGTGGTATGCACTCTGACTACTTAATAAGGCAGCCAACAGGGCTTTAGACTGCGAATGAACACTGGTTGGCGTTGCAAACGTCAGTAAAGAGGTGGAACAACTTAGCGCTAGTTGCGTATTTGCATCCTAATTTCAGTCCCAATAATATTTATATTCGCAACGGTTATGGTAAATTTTTGTATTATATATAGCAAAGAATGTCAAAAAAATAACATTATGGAGATCATACACTTATGTCCGATGGCCAGAAAATGAAATAATTCTCTAATAGTTCCAGAGATTGAGCTATTAAGCTAAAGAATAGAAATCACTATAAGTGCAACATATGCGTATCCTAAAAACTAAATAAAATAGCAAATTTATGGAAATTAGAATTACAGTACCTGTCCATACTGTGAAAAATTGTAGATCTGACTTCATCAGTACTATCACTCTCTTGCAGTTTCACAGTTTGAGTACCATCTTGATGCATCTGAGCTATCGATTCATCATTAGTTTCCTCTGGCCATCTGAAGTTTTCTTTCGTCTTGATGTAAACCCTGATTCCATCCACTATAGTCATGCCATTTGAATCGGTCGAAGAAGCAACTGTAATAATCAATCGTAAAGGTTACATAATGTTACATAAACGATGATCACATCAAGGAAATACTTTACATTACTGTAATTTTTTGAAGATGTTACATCAAATATATATCATTTATAATCTGTTATTTGAGCATTTATAGCATACAGTTATACAAATCTACGTTAAATAATGTACATAAACATCAGATACTTTTAATACTTTAAGTGCAAAATCTACACTTACAAAATAATGTAATCTTCTTATCAGCAGTCAGAGATTCTTCTCTAGTGAATGGAATATCATACCAACGACTCATCTTTGGTTTAAACTAATTTTTTACAATGAAAGAATTTGTGATACGTTATGACTTACACCATTTTGCATAAAAGAAATATCTAAAAATTCAGGTTATACATTGATTGCTCTTCCAAACACTTCTATGTATGCCGGTATTTTATCAGTAGACTGACATCCAATTTGCACTCTGATACCGACCATTACATGCGAGGAATTTGTGTTCTTGATTTCAACTGAAAATCCATTAGGCTGGGACACAATCAGACGCTTCATTAGATTACGTTACTATTTATTAGCTGGGTTACTTATAACTTAGTTCCCCTACCTTATTACTTGCAATATACATTCCATTAGCATTTAATCGATTTTTAATTTGCTGAACATTATAAATTTGCAGCAAGTCGCTACCGCCATACTAAATTAACAGTAGATACAACTCTAGCATTAGTATTTGTATTTTACTCTTTACATTAATGATACTATCAGACTTAATCATAGAATATAAATACTTCGATAATTTTTAAAAGCAATAGCGGCCTTTTTGACATTGTATGAATTACCTCTACTTCATTTGTTAGTTGACAAGTTTCAAAGAAGTCGACAGGGAAATTGATTCCACTGAGGGACTTGCCTAATATAATATCATCACTTTAATTTACACTTTTTTTAACCCTATAACTGATTAAATTATGAAGCTAAAATGCCTTACTTGATTCTACAGCTTTCTTCTTTTTCATGGGCTTGATTGCGGTTAATTCACTGAATTTAAAACAAAACATCACAATTTTAAGTATACCATTAACGAGGGTCAAAAGTGCATACTATGCACACATTATGTGCGTACCTAATAGGCTGAAATACTGAGGATGACCAAAATCCAACAAGATCCATATTTGCTAAGTAAATTCGTAAGCTTCCATCATCATTAAGAATGATTAAAGAGGTTCTCGTCTAAAAAACAAGTCGAATTGTTATTTATCATAAGCAATACACCTCATATTAAGGTCACTTTATCAATTATAATCCGGACTAGACTGTTTTGAAAAGGAAACATTTATGTATGTTAATGAGCGGAAAGCGACAAATAACATTGGTATGTCTTACCGATGATGAGCCTAATGATGGATGCCGTATTGCAACCACATCTTGCACCTAAAATTATAACAACTTATTAAAAATCTTCTACACTGCACGTACGCAAATAAAACGAAAAGCCTCAAAATGGAGATAACCTTGGCTTTAGAAGGCGATTTTATTTCCTGTACTGTAATAGTATCCGGCTTAATATACATAATGATTGGTGTTCCACTTAAGGTTTGCGTACAAATTAAACCAGGGTGATGGTAGACTTCCTTCCACTGACACAAAGCTTGCAGCGACTTATTCGAACTACATAAATATATCAATAGGTTTATATTTCATAGATTCAGCAGATACAACAAACTAGCTATAATTAGGGTATTTATAGTTTAATTACCCTCTCAATTCAATTAGGGATATTTTATCTAGCCTACAAAAATCTTCGTCTAAAACGCCAACATAAGTTTTTCCTTAATTTTTAAAAATTAATTAAAAATTGATCGCCTTATTAGTGTGTTGACATAACATCCAACATGTTCGATGTATCATATGAGAAATTAATGATATTGATTCAACTTAAGAACAATTCAATTATTAATCATTAAATTCGTCGTTTTTTGACCTGCAGTTCGTTAAGAACTTAACTAATACGGGTTATGAATAATAGAGAAGGGCATTACGATATTCAGCGCATAGGGCAATCATTTATATGTAACTTATAGTTATTGAGACTGCATACAAAAGCCAAACAACTAACTTACCTTGCGTTACACTGAAAAATAGTAATTGCAGTAAGTGCGAGTAGTATACAGAGACACCACCACCTCCAATTTGACCATTTACCATCTGAAAATATATATTGATGTTATCAATGCGAAATAACTTACTATCAGTAACAATTGATCTAGCATAATGTAACAACCTCCAAATTGTGTGATATCGCGTCATTTATTGCTATTGTGTTGGTAAGATAAAATGGCCCGTTAGCAGCATTACTTAGATCGTTCATAGGTTGTGAGTATAGACACCCATTCGAT